AGAGATTCACAGAGATTTCCATTTACACAGATTCCCCACAGATTTTCACCCAAATTCCCACAGACTCCCCCCAAATTTCACCCAATTTCACACAGATTTCCCACAGATCCATACACATTTCACAGAGATTCACATCGGTTTATATTTACACAGATTCCCCAGAGATTCACACAGATCCCCCCAAATTCCCCCAGATTTCCCACAGATTCCCCCAGATTTCACAGATTTCTCAGAAGTAGAGAAAGCAGCAGATCCTGGGTAGATCCACATGGAATCACCACAGATTCCCACAGATTCCCCCCAAATTCCCCCAGATTTCCCCCCGATATTTACATTTACACAGATTATGAAGGAGGAGAGAAGCCTGGCTAGGAAATGTGATGGAAAGGGGGATGGTGTGCAGGTTGTAGGGAGTAACGACAGGTTGTAGTGAGTAACAACAGGTTGTAGTGAATAACAACAGGTTGTAATGATTAACAACAGGTTGTAGTGTATAACAGCAGGTTGTAATGATTAACAACAGGTTGTAGTGAATAACAACAGGTTGTAATTATTAACAGCAGGTTGTAATGATTAACAACAGGTTGTAATGATTAGAGCAGGTTGTAGTGATTAACAACAGGTTGTAGTGAATAACAACAGGTTGTAATGATTAACAACAGGTTGTAGTGATTAACAGCAGGTTGTAGTGAATAACAGCAGGTTGTAGTGATTAACAGCAGGTTGTAATGATTAACAGCAGGTTGTAATGATTAACAACAGGTTGTAGTGAATAACAACAGGTTGTAATGATTAACAACGGGGAGAAGCCCCTTTTATTGCTGTTGCAAGGAAAGCTGAGCAGCTGTGGCCTCCAGAGGAGTCACCTGCACGTGTGGTGTGGCCAGGGCAGGCGTGGGGTCACTGAAATGTGCTTTTGTGTCTCGGTGCAGCCGAGTGTGGCTCGTCGGTGACAGGAACCCAGGGTGTGCTGCTGTCCCCCAACTACCCCCTGAACTACAACAACAACCACGAGTGCATCTACTCCATCCAGAGCCAGCCTGGGAAAGGCATCCAGCTGAAAGCCAGGACCTTCGAGCTGGAGGCAGGAGATGTCCTCAAGGTAATTCTGGTCTCTAAATGCTCTAAAATTTTCATGGGGTTAGGTGGGAGTGACCTCTGTGTCACCCCAGGAATAGTCCAGTGCCATGGAGTGATTGCCATGGTGCTGGAGGATCAAATTTCCCCCAGAAATCTTCAAATTTGGAGGATCAAATTTCCCCCAGACCAGCTAAACTTCAGCTCTCACCTGTGGAATTGCACAGAAGGGTGAGGGTTTGAGCATTATTTTAGTGCTTTGAAGAATCAAGGCTGGTTTGTCCCAAAAAGGGGCTGATTGAAATGCAGAGCTCCAGACTCTTCTCAGATTATTCAAGCTCCAGGACTCTGTGGAGGAGGAGACAAATCCAGGCTGAGTTTTTTTATTAACCAAAGGAACGGTTTTGAAGGAGGCATTAATATTACAAGGATGTGCTGAGCCATCTTCCCAGGAATGCCTCTGTCCTCATTGAAGTGTCACACTCCAGGAGGGATGTAATCCACATTTCCAGCTCATAAACGACTGGAAAGGGAGGAAGATTTCCTCTTATTGCAAGGAATGAACTCCTTGTCACAGGAGTTGCGTTCTCCCAGCAGGTTTGTCATCAGCTGCTCATCTAAGGAAAGTTGCTATCGATCTCTGCTGCTGAGGAACTGCTCTTGGTCTTCACAAAAGGCAGAAAAAAAAACCATTTGTGTTTTTCTTAAATCACAGCAAATTCAAGGCTCATCTCTGAGTCAGTCTGGGGGAAAAATGTGGGTTTTTTCAGTGGCTGCTCCTTGGGAAAGAGAGCTGAGGAGATGCAGCTCTGTGTGCAGAGTAAATCAGGGAGCAGGAGGAGGGTGCAGATGCTCCAGGGTGTAAATCCCACTCCTCGGGTGGGCAGCACTGTGCAGTTTCATCAAGTCAGACTTTCAGTAGAGATCCTTGGATCTCAGCTCGCATTGCCCAAAGGATTTGTCCCTTTTTGCACTTGAGGATCCAGGGACCACTCCTGGATCACTTGTGGGACAAATTCTGAGGGGTTAGAATTGCTTTTCCAGCCTGATGCTGGAATTCAGAGTGGGGTTGGTTGCTTCCTTCCCTTTTCCCTCCAGTACCTGGGATCAGCTCAGTGCCAGAAGCAAATTCCTTGATTTGAGGTGACCCCAAATCAGGGCACTTCCTGGGAGCTGCTGGCTCTTCCCAGGAAGCTGCTCCCCCAAAAAAACCCAAATAGCCCAGGGTGCTGCTGTGAGGAGAGCAGGGACAAGGTGGGATAAATTCCTCCTCATTTCTCTAGTTCTAGAGCTCAGTGGAACTGCAGAGAAATCCTGGAATGGTTGGGGTGGGAAGGGACCTTTAGGATCATCCAGTGCCACCCCTGGATGGGCAGGGACACCTTCCACTGTCCCAGGTTGCTCCAAGCCCCATCCAACCTGGTCTTGGACACTTCCAGGGATCCAGGAGCAGCCATCTCTGGGCAGTGATGGTTGGATCCCTGGAATAGCGCAGGAATGGTTTTTCCAGGCTGGATTTCTTGTTCCCCCCAGGTCTACGATGGCACCAACAGCTCTGCCCGGCTGCTGGGCACCTTCAGCCGCTCAGAGCTGCTGGGCACCAGCATCAACAGCACCTCCAGCTCCATGTGGCTGGAGTTCATCACCGACACTGCCAACACCAGCAAAGGCTTCGAGCTGCAGTTCTCCAGTGAGTTTCAGTCCCATGTGTGCTGGCAGTCCCACAGCTCAAGGTGTATTTTTGTGGTTTTTGTGTTGCCCGTGAGCAAAGAGTCCTTCCTGTGGTGATCTTGTACCCAAAGGGGAGTTGGAGCATGGGAGAGCACAGCATGCCAGGATTACTGAGGGTGGCAAAGCCCTCCAAGCCCATCCAGTGCCTGATCCCCACCTTGTCACTGAGTGTCACACACAGGCATTCCTTGGACAACTCCAGGGATGGAGACTCCAAACCTCCCGGGGCACCCCCTTCCACCCTTTCCATGGAGAAATTCCTGCTGATGTCCAGCCTGAGCCTCCCCTGGCACAGCTCGAGGCCGTTTCCTCTTCTCCCTGTCCCTGTTCCCTGGGATATGCTCAAACCTTTCCTGTCAAGGCTGTAGCGATCCAGAAATTCAGATCAAAACTCCACCATTAATTAAAACCCCACCAGTTTCTAATATGGTCCCCAACACATGGGGAAGAAAAGAAAGAAGAAAACACCACCGTGGCTTTGTGTGAGACCCTCCTGACTCTGAAATTCCCAGTGCCAACAGCTGCCCTTCCTCCCTGCTGCAGGTTTCGAGCTCATCAAGTGCGAGGACCCCGGCATCCCCCAGTTTGGGTACAAGGTGCACGACGAGGGACACTTCGCTGGCAGCTCGGTGTCCTTCAGCTGCGACCCTGGCTACACCCTGAGGGGCACCAGGGTGCTGGTGTGCCTGACAGGGGAGAGGAGGGCCTGGGACCAGCCCCTGCCAACCTGCGTGGGTGAGACACCTCCTCCTCCTCCTCCTCCTGGGAGAGATTTCCTTGGATCCCACACCCTGAACACCCTTGGTCCCGGCTTTGCTGATCCACTGACATTAACTCTGCTGTTAATTGCTCATCTGCACTAATTAAGCTGTGTGTGGTAAAGGTCCTTGAGATGGGGACACCTCCTGCCCTGCCAAAACTTCAAGGAAATTATTTCCTTGTGGGTTCCCCACCCTGACCACCCTGGTCCCGGCTTTGCTGATCCACTGACATTAACTCTGCTGTTAATTGCCCAGCTGCACTAATTAATGTGGTGAGGATCCTGTGTGAGATGGAGAGCACTTGAAGCAGCTTTAGCAGGAAATACACTGCCCTAAACACACATTTGACAAGGGTTTTTTGCTTCCTTGTCCTTTCCCAGCCCTTGTCCTTTCACTCCGGACGTGTTGAAGTGAGTGGCACCTCCTGATAGTGACATCAACGTGTGTCCTGGCATGTGACAGCTCAGAGCCAGGTTTATTTGAGAGCTGCCTGACACCTGATCCCATCCCCAGACATTTCAATTCCCTTCACAGAGATCCCTTTCACCTGCAGCTTTTCCTGCCTGGAAAATTCTGATTCGGGGTTTTGTGTGTTAAATGAATGGGGCTGATTGCTGATTCCTGTCCTGCTGTGCCCAGGACATGGGGAACTTGTTGGACACCGAGTCCCCTGGGTGATCTCCACCCCCAGGGATGTGCTCAGCCCCTGGCACTCCGTGTTCTCTCTCCCAGGAGGCAGGACCATTCCTTGGCTGGGATTTTAGCCTCATTTTTTGATGCAAAAAGATAAATCTCTGTCATTTGTGCGTTTTCTTAACCTTCACCCTGTTTGCTCAGCATGTGTTGGATATGAGGCCGTGTCTGGAACGTGTGGAAATTAAAAAGAAATGAAAGAAAGCTGAAAGAAGTTAAAATTACAGCATTTGAATGGATATGTTATGGAAATTATTCCAAATCCTCACGTTCTTTGCAGTTCATTTACAGCGACATTTACAAGCTCTTTGGCTTCTTATCCTTCATTTTCTGATGAATCCAAGCAGAGGAGCAGAGCTCCTTCACCCTCCACGTGCTGAGCAGGGAAGAAGGATCCTGGCAGGCTCTGCCTTTGCTCCCTGGGGATTCACAAAGGTGGAGGGAAGCTTTGCCAGGTGTTCAGAACAAGCACAGAAATGCAGAATAATTCTGATAACTCAGCTGAATTGAACAATTCTCTTCATCTTCTTAAGCTTTTAGAATCCCTGGGAAAAGCCAGGAATAATCTCTGTTGCGGGGTGAGATTGCTGCCAAGCAAAAGCCACAGAAACCACGAATCTTCTCCCTAACCCCATCAATATTTTTGTTGCAGCTGAGTGCGGAGGGACAATCAGAGGAGAGGCCTCAGGACGGATCCTCTCCCCAGGATATCCAACTCCCTACGACCACAACCTCAACTGCATCTGGACCATCGAGGCAGAGCCCGGATGCACCATTGGGTGAGAGCTGTGGTTTGGCTTCTTTCCCACGTGGAGCTGATTTTTCCAGGTCAATAATTCCATAAAAGCAATGGGGGAGAAGCTCCTGTCACTCTGAGAGGGACCAGCAGGGAGAAGTCACTGCTTTGCTTTCAGAATCAGGGAATGGTTTAGGCTGGGTGACTCTGTGGTCCCAGCCATCCTGCTTAGCCCTGGCATGCCTGAATTTCCCTTCATTTCCAACCAAGGGATCAGAAAAAGACCTTTAAAAAACAAGGCTTTAGCAAAAGGGAGGGGTGAAGTTAGGTGGCTGAGACCTTCAGAAGAACTGCTGTGATCCTGGTGGGTAGGAACATGTTCTTGTTTTTCAGTTTCTTCCTTTTTTCCTCTTGAAGGGAAGTTTCTGGAGGCACAGTATGTAACCACAGAATCACAGAATGGTTTGTGCTGAGAAGGACATTAAAGCCCACCTTGTTTCTGCCTCTCTCTGAAAGGCAAGGACACCTTCCACTAAACCAGGTGGCTCAAAGACCCATCCAACCCAGCCTTGAACACTTCCAGGGGCAGCTACAACTTCTCCTGGCAATTTGAGGCAGTTTGATCAGTGTCTGTAATTGTCCTAATACTCTCAGGGGAGGGCATGAAGTCATTGGGGTGGTTCCTCTTCAGCAGCTGAACTATTTTACTTTCAGACATTTCCCACCAGCCCAGGCTGCTCGGAGCCCCCAGTGGCATCACTGCTCCTCTGTTTTCAGCCCTGAGTGGTGACACCACACCACGTCCTGGTCCTGCCTGTGGTGTTCCTAAGCTGAAATATCCCAGAGCTTTGGTGTCCATGGACAGCTTTCCACCCCTCTCCTTACCGGGATGCATCCAGATTCAAACCTTTTTTTCCCACCTCATCGATGAGGAACTTGCCAAAAGTGCTGAATGGCCACATGACACAATCCTGGAGTGAGGGTGTTGTAGGAAATCCCAGGGAATGTCCCAGGATCCAGGCAGTTCCTGCTCCCTGATCCTTCACTGCTGCCCCACCACCCCCACGGTGATGTTTGCCCAGCCCTGCCAAGCCCTTCAGGGCTGCCCTGGGTGTTCCCACAGAATCCAGGCTGGCCGAAGCCCACAGAAAACTGGAATATTTGGGCAAGCCAAGCTTTGACTCAGTGGTGGGATTTGAGGGGCAGAAATGGACCTTAAAATTCTATAATAATAATAATAATAATAATAATAATAATAATAATAATAGTTACAATCCTCTCCCAGCATCTCCCATCAGAGCTCCCAGTGCTTGCCAGCCATTCCTGCCTCATCCCCATCCTGAATTCCTTCCCTCTTAATCCCATTTTTCCTCCCTGCTGCCCCAGCACCCATCACCTCTCCAGCACAGCCTGTCCCTCCGGGTGAGCTCCGGGCTGCTTTTAGCCCTTGGAGTTCTGCTGGAGACAGGTTTGGTCTGGTGTTTTCATTTTTATTTAATGCAGAAATTCCCTCCATTAGCACTGCCCTTTGGAATGGCTCAATAATGGATGGGTTTGGGTGTGAACAGAGGAGAAAAAGCAAAGCCAAAGCAGCTGAATCCCTGCACAGGCAACTTCCACTTGAAACCTCCTCTATTTTTATTCTCCTGGAGAAGGTTTTTACAGGACAAAGTAGAGAGGTCTCTTTTTCCCCTCATCCAAAGGCTGCTTCAGCAACTTTGCTCTTGTAATCCCTAAAAGCGCCCACATGAGCAGAGGTTTGGGATCAACCAAAGGCTTGGAAGAGGCCAGGACAGAGAGGAGAAGGTTCCAGGAGGTATCGGAGCCACACAAACCTGGTGACCCTGCCTTTCCCAGAGCTCCCTCTCCCTGCCCCTTCACTTCCCAGCTCCAGCAGCACAGATGATCTCAGGGGAGTGGGGAGAGCACATTCCCAGCAACTTCATTTTTATGGTAATCCATTGGAAAAATAATCCTCTTCACGCATGATACAATTGTGTAAAGCTCTCATTTATAACTTACATGAAAATTAATCACCAGAGCTTTTGGAATGAAGCTGTATCTGCACAGCACGAGGGGAAGGGCAGGAGGGTGAGACGGGGAGAAAAATGAGTCTGCACTTCAGAGGCATGCAAGGGAAAGGGCTGCTCCTGCAGAGGGGATGAATTCGGGGTATGGAGTGCCTTGGCTGGGCTGGGAGAGCTGGGGGAGAGGAGGAAGGAGGAGGATGTGCTGGAAAATGGATGGGAATTCCTTGCCCAGCTGGGAGCAGGGAACACAGAGACACGGCAGAGGTGGGTTGTGGTCCATCCCTGATCCCAGCGTTGTCAAAATCCACTGATGTCGTTAATTCATCCCACTTTCATGGGTATTGACAGCTTCCACTTTCCAGAGTTTCATCTAAAAACAAGAGTGAGAAAATACCCAGAGCGGGAAGTGATCCCAAAAGGATCATCCAGTGCAGCTCCTGGCCCTGTCCAGACACCCCAAAACCCCACCCTGTGCATCCCAAACGCTCCTGGAGCTCTGGGAGTCCTGGAAATGTGACCAATTCCAGCATTTTGGGATGTTCCACTTCCCAGGGACAGGATATTGAACAGCTTTCAAGCTGGGGAAGCCTCTCTGGGGCATGGGAAGTGGTGGCTGTGGTGGCACCTCTGTGCCAGGGGCATCCCAACCTTGCACAGAAAGGCCAAAGTCAGAGCTTGGATGGGGAATGTCCACATAAAAACACCTCGGGATGGTCACTGGGGTTGTGGGGAGCTCTGGGAAGAGCTCCTCAAGGTTGTTCACACCCTCAGGGCAGAGCTGGGCTCTCCTCTCCGCTCCTTGCTAAGCTGCCAGAACTTCCCCTCTCTCACATTTATATAAATATAATCTCCCCAGTTTTGAATTTGCTTTTTTAAAATTTTTCCCCTGCATTTCCATGCCTGTAACTGAGCAGTTTGGATTGTCAGAGTGCAGGAATAGAACTCCTTTCCCCTCAGGAATAGAATCCCTTTCCCTTCCATTGTCTGCTGAAGCCGGGGCTGGTCTCGCACGTCAGGCTGAGGGCAAAGCTGAGATGTGCCTGTGGAATAGATGGATTTGCTCCAGAGAACTCCAGATCTGATATCCCAGCAGATCCCAGGCACTGGACAGCCTGTCCCATGGATCACCTGAAGCTGAATCCCATGGATCACCCCTGGCACAGCCTGAAGTTGATTTTTCTCAAATAAAGGGGAGTGCTTTAGGCAGCCCCGGAGCTGCTGGTGGCAGTTCCAGGGTGTCCCCCCACCCCTGGCAGCCTGTCCCTCATCCCAAGGTCTCCAGGGATGAGTTTTTTCCAGCATTTCTGCCTCACTGGGCCCAGTTAAGTCTGGGAACAATCGTAATCACACCAAGGCAGCCGTGGAGAACAGCTCTGCACCATCCATCCTGATTTTCCTCAAGCCTGGCTTTATTTCTCTTTGCTCAAGGTCTCTGCTTGGGAGATTTATGGTTCAGCTCTTTTGGTTTCTCCCAGCTTCTGTGGGCATCATTTTGGTGCTGAGGATTTTGCAGTGGGGCTTTTTTTTTTCTCCCCTTTTTTTTTATGGCTCTCCTCTGATTTATTTATGTTTGCCCCAGATAAATGGGAAAGCAGCCAAGTGAAAGCTTCCCTGTTTCTCTCCGTGGGCTGGCAGGGATTTCAGCACAGCACCTGATGGGTTTGTTTTTTACAGATTTTTTTTTTTTCCTGTTTCTGGGTTTCTGTCCCCGTTTCACACTGGAGTTGAGTTGCCCATGGTTGGCCTGATTTTGGTGTGCCGGAGGGAAAATGGGGCAGTGACAAACAGGGACATGGAAATTCCTCCTCTCCCGGTGGGATTGGAGCGCAGGAGTGGAAGGGATCAGCTCCTGCTCCATCCCCAAGGAATGGTCACATTCCCAAGGCTGCCAGAGCTCCAGGAGGGTTTGGACAACACCCTCGAGGACAGAGTGGGATTTGGGAATGTCTGGGATTGGATTTGATGATCCCTGTGGATCCATTCCCACTCAGGACAATCAGAACTGCATCCTTCAGCTGGTCACCGTAACCAGGGCTGGATCCTGTTCTTGGGTGGTTCTTCTGACCTGGGAGGAGCCCTTGGAAAAGCCTGGATCCATCTGCTCCCCATCCCACAGCAGAGCTGGGCCTGGGGAGGAGCAGGGATGTGTTGGGATCATGTCTGTCCTGTCCTGGAGTGCCACCAGCCCTCGCCCGGGCACGGAGGGACCTCCTGCCTCTCCCTTGGGTCCATCACTGGCCCAGACCCAGCAGGAATTCCCTCACCATGAGGCCTCCTGCGGCTTTCCCTCAGGAATTCCCTGTGGAAGTGCCTTGGCTGAAGGCCTTGAGCCCTCTCCAGGACAGACCCAGCTTTGAAATGCAGAGGAAGGGAATGAAATCTGCCATCAGAACATCAAAATAAACCCTCAGTGTCAGCTCACTGTCACCTTCATAACTCCTGTTTCCCCTCCCTTCCCTTCCTGGTGTGGATTTTGGAGCTCTTCCTCATTTTCTCTCAATTCTCTGCTGAAGTTCCTCTGTTTGCTGACCTAATTCTGCAACATCCAGACCTTCCTAAAATACATCAAAATCCTGAAGGTGCTGCAATCCAGCATCAGAATTGGCTGCCTGAATGTGGCACAAACCCATTCCAGGCCTGAATTCCAGAGGAGACAAAACATTCCATGTGAGCCTGGCTGCCTGAATGTGGCACAAACCCATTCCAGGCCTGAATTCCAGAGGAGACAAAACATTCCATGTGAGCCTGGCTGCCTGAATGTGGCACAAACCCATTCCAGCCTGAATTCCAGGTGTTTTTTGCCCCACAGGCTCCACTTCATGGTTTTCCACACCGAGGAGTTCCATGACGTGCTGCGGATCTGGGACGGGCCGGTGGAGAACGGGATCCTGCTGAAGGAGATGAGCGGCTCGGGGCTGCCTGGGGACATCCACAGCACCTTCAACTCTGTCATCCTGCAGTTCAACACCGACTTCTTCACCAGCAAACAGGGCTTTGCCATCCAGTTCTCAGGTGGGATGTGCAGGGGTTCCTCAAAAACCTCACCAAAAGCAGAGGGAAAACCCCAACCAAAACCCAAGGGAAAAATCCAACCAAACCCAAGGGAAAAATCCAACCAAACCCAGAGGGAAAAATCCAACCAAACCCAAGGGAAAAATCCAACCAAACCCAGAGGGAAAAACCCAACCAAACCCAGAGGAAAAACCCAACCAAACCCAAGAGAAAAATCCAACCAAACCCAAGAGAAAAATCCAACCAAACCCAAGAGAAAAATCCAACCAAACCCAGAGGAAAAACCCAACCAAACCCAGAGGGAAAAACCCAACCAAAACCCAAGGGAAAATCAGCCACACCCAGAGGGAAAACACCAACCAAACCCCAAGGGAAAATCCCAACCAAAACCCAAGGGAAAACCCCAACCAAACCCAGAGGGAAAACCCAACCAAACCCAGAGGGAAAAATCCTACCAAACCCAGAGGGAAAACCCCAACCAAACCTCAGCCCTGCAAACACATTCTTTTCAATTATTTAGGGTGATATATTCCAATATTTACAGTGTCCCAGGTTTGTGCAGTTGTTTTGGAGTGATAATAAACAGGGAGTGGTTGGGTGAGAGATGATGTGACTTTCCCTGGGCTGAGACACATTGACACATCTTCCCAAGTTTATTTTTTTTCCATAACTTTCTGACCAGGGTGCTTTGCTTGGCTGGGGGAACAAGCCAACATTTTGGGGAGAATTTCTGCTGGGTTTCAGACCTTTGGGGTGACTCAGACAGAGGCAGAGCTTTGTGTCACCCAACACAGCAGTGCCATCCTGGGGTTTTTTGCCAGATTTGTGTCTCGTGCTGCCAGGAAGGACCAGCCTGGGCTGTTAACTTCCTTATCTCCAGCTGCACAGAAAGAGAGGGATTTCCTCTGGCTCTTTCAAGAGCAGCTTTCTCTAAACTGCCTGAGTGTAACAGACTCTCATCAACTTAGCAGGAAATAAGCTCCTGATCTGGAGCTGGGCTTTATTGACTGCTCCTGCTCAAAGCCTTTGTTCAGCAGGTGTGACTAAGCAGCCAGACCTGAGCTCAGACCTGTCCACTTTGGGATCTCGGGAGCTTTAATGAGGTGGATAAGCTCACAAAACTCCTATTACTCCAGGATTTTCCCTGCTGGTAAATCCTTGTGCTGTTGGCAGACCTTGAGCTCAGGCGGCAGCGAAGCTTCGCCTGTCCCCAGCTCAGGGGACATCTCAGACCTCAAAGAGAGGCAGCAACAAGTCTGGAATGGAAACAAACACATTTCTGAAAGGTCAGGCTTGATGCTTCACAGATCTTGAGGCTGAATTTCTCTGCCACTCAGGGGAAAGCGTGAAGTGCTGGTGGCTGAGTTGATTTTGCAGCATGTGCCTGGCACAGAACTCTCCAAAAACACCGAGGAAAATCAGTGGGAGTCTGGCCTGATGGAGTAAACAGGCATTTGCACAATTCTACATCAAAGAGCTCCCTGGGTGCTGCTCTTGAACTTGCTGGTCCCCAGAGCCTTTCCCAGCTGGAGTGGCAGATGCTCAGAGCAAAGGGAAAGGCACTTTTTGTGTGTGGGGGAACTTCAGGGGATGCTGAGGGAGGAGGGCTGGGGGAACAAGGCACGGCCTGGATGTCTGGGCAAGGACAGAGCCTCAGGACAGCTGGTGCTGCAGGCCTGGTGTTAAATAAACATTGCTATTCAAGAGTGCTCTTAATTCCCTTCAGTTTCCACAGCCACCTCCTGCAACGACCCAGGAATCCCCCAGAACGGGAGCCGGAGCGGGGACAGCAAAGAGGCCGGGGACTCCATCACCTTCCAGTGCAACCCCGGCTACGCCCTGCAAGGGGAGGCCCAGATCACCTGTGTGCAGATCGAGAACAGGTTCTTCTGGCAGCCAGACCCGCCCACCTGCACAGGTACGGGCACGGGGACACACCTGGGCACGGGGACACAGAGCCCTGTCCTGGCACAGGGACACACATCTGTGACCTGGGCATGGGGATACAGATCTGTGACTGGTCATGGGGACACACATCTGTGACCTGGGCACGGGGACACAGGGCTCTGTCCTGAATTCATGGACAAAGGGTCCTGTCCTGGGTACATGGACACAGATCCATGATCTGAGCACAGGGACACAGATCCATGTCCTGAATCCATGGGCACAGATCCATGTTCTAAACCCATGGGCACAGATCCATGTCCTGAATCCATGGACACAGATCCATGTTCTAAACCCATGGGCACAGATCCATGTTCTAAACCCATGGACACAGATCCATGTTCTGAATCTATGGACACAGATCCATGTTCTAAACCCATGGGCACAGATCCATGTCCTGAATCCATGGACACAGATCCATGTTCTAAACCCATGGACACAGCTCCATGTCCTGAATCCATAGGCACAAATCCATGTCTTGAATCCATGGATACAGCTCCATGTCCTAAATCCATAGACACAAATCTATGTCTTGAAACCATGGACACAGCTCCATGTCCTAAATCCATAGGCACAAATCCATGTCTTGAATCCATGGATACAGCTCCATGTCCCAAATCCATGGACACAGATCCATGTCCTGAACCCTATTGTAAAATTTCACCCCACCCATCTTAAAAAATTAAGAAATATTTTTAAAATACCCTTCAGATCTGCAGAGCTGTGATAAAAAAAGCTGATTTTCTAATACTTCAAATTATACTTCAATTGTTTATAGTTTATTTTTAATCCAGTTTTAACATAAAGTGACAAAGGATTTGGAGGAAGAATCAGTGAAATATCAGTAACTGGGGGAGAGGCAGCTTGGTTGGAGCTAAACTGGGAAAATTCAGTGTTAAATTTAGGGCTGATTTGGGGTATTTAGCATTTCAAATGTGTTTTCCCCTCTTTGTGGCACAACTGCCAAACAATCCGGGCTGGGAGAACCCCGGGAGGTTTGGGCCATTTGAAGTCTGCATCCCTCCCCATCCCAGGCAGCGCTGGCTGGGTCCAGCTCCTGCTTCAAATCTTTGGAGACTCTGGGTGGGATTTTCAAAGGAATCCGAGGGTGTTGAACACTTGTCTCCCTCAGGCTTTTCAAAAATGAGTCCTTAGATTTCGGTTTCTTCGGAGTTTTCCCCTGACATTGCAGTCTGGGAGGGGAAACACCCTTGGGGTTCAAATTAGGGTGAATGGGCACAAAGAGATGCTGGTGGGTTCTTCCAAGGCATTTTTGGGAGACTTTCAGCCAAATTTTCCATGTCTGTGCTATGATTTCCTGGTGTGTCCCAGAGGAACAAAAGTTCTCTGTGCCTGAGTCTGGACTTGGGTGGAGAAGTTGTTTCAAAGCTTTGGAAAAGAGTCTCTAATCTCTATTTGGATATTTCTAGACCAGCCCCACTGGGTTTTTCCTGCTATTTTTCTTTATCAAAGCCCACAGGACAATCCCATGTGCTCATTCCTTGATGGAAATTCCTTCCAAGATTTATCCCATAATTTTTGTCCCACCCCAGCTCATTTCCCACTCTGTAGCTGCTGTCAGACCCCCCCGCCCAAGCTGTGCTCTCCTTGCTCTCATCCCATCCCAAATGTTGGAGAGTCGGTGGTTATTCCAAGGTATTTTTGGGAGACCTTCAGCCAAATTTTCCATATCTGTGCTGTGGTTTCCTGGTGTGTCCCAGAAGGAAAGCATTTCTCCATTCTTGGACTTTGAGAAGGTCTCTCATCCCTACTATGACATTTCTAGTCCATCCCCACTGGGTTTTACCTGATATTTTTCTGGATGTTTTTCTTTATCAAAGCCCACAGGATAATCCCACATGCTCACTCCTTCATGGAAGATCCTTCCAAGATTTATCCCATCATTTTCAGACCCCCTTCCTCTCACCCCATCCCAAATACATGAGGGTCGATCTGGGAAATCTCAGAGCCCTCACAAGGAGCCTGCAGCAAAAACCAACAGGAAAAAAAATCACTCATGTTTTGCCACGGTAGAGAAACACAAGCAGGCACTTTGAGCCTTAAAAAAAGTAAAAATTGATTTTTCAATCAGCTTGGCATTTAATGTGCTGGGAAGTGGAGTAAACATGACCGAGCCATTTAGGCCCAGACGTGTTTTCACCTCGTTACAAGCGAACAGGCCTTGACAGGGAGTTCCATAAATGCAGCAGAAAAGTGGAAGATCTCCCTCCCTCTCCTCCTGGCTCCTCATTTTCAGCTTTTAGGAAGGTGCTGGTGGCACCCAGAGCTCTGTTTGTCCCCTGTGGAATGACAGAGCCACCACAGCCTCATGCCACCCGTGAGCCCCAGGGTCGCTTCCCACTAAAATATCCCGGGATTCTGTGCTATCTCAAGCCTCTCTGTCTGTCACATCTCCATCTTTTTCCATTCCTGCTTCCCTGTGAAAAATGCATAATTTATGATTGGCTTTTCGCAGATGTTACGATGAATAGTATATGTGTAATGTTGGAAAGTTGTGCTGTATTAATTCTGTTAAGTAGTATGTTAAATATAGTTTTAGGTTACAACATAACATTGAAATAGAAACTCTGTGATGTAGAATTTTTTTATTAACTCAAGCAAGAGATGAGATAATCAAGAAACTTCACACAGAGATGCCAGTGACTTGGGGCCCATAGAGTTCCAGCCTCCTTATCAGAAAAGACAAACATTTTTCCACCTTCTCTCCATCTTTATGGAACCACCAAGATTAAGGGGAAGAAGTTGACAAAATCCAGAAAAGTTCTAAATTTGCAAGGAATTTATGCATCATGTATGAGATATATGAATATGCAACAGGCTGTTGCTTTTAAGGTGATTCCTTTGTTCACAAGGGATGCTTGTTGTGACTGAGTGTCCAAGAGCATCCGGACATCCATAATTCTTTACTTTTTATTGCCTTGTAACTGTCCTAACTCTAAACTTTATTACTCTAATTGTATTACTATTTTTATAACCATTTTGTTATTTTTAAAATCTTAACAACCAAGCAACTGGCGTGTTTCACACTCCCATTTGCTGCCCCGGGAGTCTCGGTGCTCCAAAGCCTCATCACCCGCGGTGCTTTTCCTGCAGCTCCGTGTGGCGGGACCCTGACGGGCCCGGCTGGGGTGATCCTGTCCCCGCAGTACCCGGAGCCGTATCCCCCGGGGAAGGAGTGCGACTGGAAGCTGACGGTGTCCCCCGACTACGTCATTGCCCTGGTGTTCAACGTGTGAGTACACAAGGCTTGGGATTTGTGCTATTGCTGATTATGAGATTGGAAAAAGCTTTCGTCTTTTTGCCTTGTTGCTGAAGAAGAAGTTATAGTTTGTGCTGGTTTTTAGGGTTGTTGATTTTTGTTTATTTATTACATGTTCTGCCACCCTGCCGCAGGTTTCTTTTGCAGGGCAGCGTGTGGGGCTCTGCCCTCAGTGGGATGTGACAAACATTAAATACCAGAAACTCCCTGGGCTGCATTTACAAGAACGTGCCAATATCTGTCACCTACGTTGGACAGTGTGTCCCCAGCCTGAACCAACAGAAAAATGCCAACACCACAGTGAGACATGGAGGGCATGAAGAAGGAGAAAAAGGACAAGGCACACCCAATTTCCTCCAGCTTGTGCCCTTTGGACCCCTCATCTAGAATCCTAAAATTTTACTTTTGCACCCATGCCACACTGAATTATTACTGATATCAAACACTCAGAGCTGGTAATCCATCCTGTAAGATTGAAAACTCTTTTCCATGGACAGAGATCACAGCCAATGTCTCTGGGGGCTCTGTCCAGGGGGGTTCCTGACCCCTGCCAGGGTCCCAGGGCAGCCAGAGGGAAATTCTGGATTCCCACACACAAGGGTTGGGGGCTGTGGCCCTGGGGACACAAAGCAGGGAGAGATCACCCAGGTGTGGATGTCTGAACTCTGGGAAGGAACCAACCCAAGGCTGTTAGAACTGTCCCATGCCCCTGGATAATCTGTTCCCAGAGGTTTTTTTGGGGGGTGATGCTCATATTCCACATCCTTTTGTACACCATTCACTTGGATCACCTGGTGCAGCTGCTGTGGACAGGAAACCATGGCATCACCTGATTTTTGGTGCAGAGAAGCAAAAGCCAGACCTGTGGGCTTTACAGTTTCTCCTTCCACACCTTCCCCAAAATCTGAGAGTCCCTGATTTAATGCAGCTCCTCTTTGATACAGAGAACATGCTGGGCTGCAGCAATCCCTGCAGCAGCTCCGGCTCTGTCTCTTGACTCCATCCCCATTCCTGCACTCCTCACCCGTGGGATGGAAGCAGCAGTGTCCTCTGCCAGGCAGGATTTTGGAGCAGGAGCAGCTGGCAGGAATGTCCAGCTTGGCAGAACTTTGCAGCAGGAGCAGCCAGTCCCTTCCCTGGGGTTCCACATCCCAGCACCTCAACCCGGAGCTCTCCAGGGACGTGTCCCCACTCCAAGCCCTCCTCTTTTGCTTTTGCAGCTTCAGCCTGGAGCCTGGCTATGATTTCCTGCACATCTACGACGGGCCTGACTCCCTGAGCCCCCTGATTGGGAGTTTTTATGGCTCCCAGCTCCCAGAAAGGATCGAGAGCAGCAGCAACAGCCTTTTCCTGGCGTTCCGGAGCGACGCCTCCGTCAGCAACGCCGGCTTCGTCATCGAGTACACAGGTGAGGGCTGGGGGCACACCTGGCCCAGCAGCCACCTGGGGCTGTCCCTGGGCTTATTCCCAGGTTATCCCACTTTATTGGAGCAATCTCTCATTAGGAGAGGCTCTAGATGCTGTGGAAAACTCCTCCCAGGGGAAATTCTGGTGTTTTGCCACCCCCGAAGCAGAGGGTGGAGAAAGGGAGGGAGGGAGGGTGTCCAAAGCAGTGGGAGGAGAGAGGGAGGTGAAGATGGATGGAGTGAAACAGGAAAAGAGGAAAAGTGGTGCTCAAAATACCCAAAATTTGTGCATCAAGACGCCACTGAGCCCAGGAGAAGCCAGGATTTCAGGATTTAAAGGCTGAGGATGCAAATGTGTGATGGGCAGTGGGGATTGACCAATCTGTGGCTCCCAAAACAGAGAATTGGTGCTCTGGGGGAAAAAAAAAATCCCATCCTCTTGTACCCCATCCACTTGGATCACCTGGTGCAGCTGCTGTGGCATCACCTGATTTTTGGTGCAGAGAAGAAAAAGCCAGACCTGTGGGCTTTACAGTTTCTCCTTCCACACCTTCCCCAAAATCTGAGAGCCCCTGATTTAATGCTTAAGCACACTTGAATTGTTCCCAGAGCCACTGCTCTCAGAAAAGCCCTCATCTTTAATGAGCAATTTCCAAATGACAAAAGAGCTGGATTAATCAAAGCCTCTAATTATATTGCAGGCAGGAAAAAAATAAGAGAAAGAGGGGAAAAAAAAACCAACAACAAAAAAAAGCTGTTAGAAGAAGAAGGAAAGAAATATCTAAGTCCTGACAGCTCTCTAGTGTTCCCTGGAATTTTTATGTGGAAATGGGATTTTAAACTCTGCAGGGCAGAGAATTTTTTATTCTCTACCTGCCAGGAGGGTGGAGCAAGGTGGGGTTTGGCCTCTGCTCCCAGGGAACAGGGACAGGATGAGAGGGAGCAGCCTCCAGTTGTGCCAGGGGAGGCTCAGGTTGGACATCAGCAGGAATTTCTGCATGGAAAGGTGTCAGACCTTGGAAGGGGTGGAATCCTCACCCCTGGAGGTGTCCAAGGAATAAATGAGGAAATCCCAGACTGGTTTGGGTTGGAAAGGACCTTAAAACCCACCCAGCTCCATAGGCAGGGACACTTCCACTATCCCAGATTGCTCCCAGGTCCATCCAGCCTGGCCTTGGACACTTCCAGGGATGAGGAATCCACGATTTCCCTGTGCCAGGGCCTCCCCATCTCAAATATGATTTGTCCTTGTGGCACTCGGTGACAAGGTGGGGATGGGTCACGGCTTGGACTCGATGATCCTGAAGGGATTTTCCAGCCTCAGCAATCCTGGGATTGTGTGAAATCAAAGTTTTGCCTTACTGCTTGGATTTTGGGTGTGGGATCTGGAGCCTCCCTTCTCCCAGTGCTCCACAGGATGGTCTGGAGAAGCCAGAATCCAAACCAAATCCCAAATCCAGACCCTGCAAATGGTGACAGTCCTTGTGAAAATCCCACAGATTCCCAGGTGGGAAAAAAAAAAACAAACAAATCCCAAATCCAGACCCTGCAAACGGTGCCAGTCCTTGTGAAAATCCCACAGATTGCCAGGTGGGAAAAAAAAAATCCCAAAACCCTAAAAAATCTCCCATTTCACTGCTCAAAACAGCAGAGGAGCTGTGCCAGAGGAATAAAAATCCTGGGAATTCTTTCCCTGCAGAGAACCCCCGGGAGTCCTGCTTTGACCCGGGGTCCATCAAGAACGGCACCAGGGTGGGCACGGACCTGAAGCTGGGCTCCACCATCACCTTCTACTGTGATGGGGGCTACGACATCGAGGGGGGCCCCACCCTCACCTGTGTCATGGGAGGGGATGGAAAACCCACCTGGAACAAGCCTCGTCCCACCTGTACAGGTAAATCCCACGGGAAGGATCTGCCCGGAGCCGGATCCCTCGACGCGTCACCCGTGGAAAACTGGGTGTTAATTTAGAGGGGTTCTCTCTGGTTTTCCATCATTTTTTTAGGGGTTTTGCCAGGAATTGATTTTCATGGTTTTTCAGCTGGTTTCTGGGAGGTTTTTTTGAGGTTTTTTTGGAGATAAATGGGAAACTGGACATGGCTGATTCAGTGCCTGACACATCCCAAGTGCCTGGCCCAGGGCAGGAGTCAGGAATCCACTTAAACCCTGGCTCAACCTGATCCTTGCTAATCCAAACCCTCAATTTTGGGTGTTCCTGAGCAGGGGCAGAGCTCAGTGACAAAACAAGGGGGTTTTTTTCTTAGGTTTTCTCTGTGGTTGTTTTATTTTCTTTTCTAACTTCATGGTTTGCAGTCAAACTTGAGCTGAGGAGGGAATCAAGAGGCAGCTGGTGGGGGGAAGGAATGAAATCCCCAATTTGGGAAGGCTCTGGCAGGGAAAAATGAGGAAAGGTGGGAAAAGGAGCTCATTCCCAGCTGTGAGGTGGGGAACATTATCAAATCCCAAATTAATTAGTGTTTGATAATTCCAGGTGGAGCCAGCAGGAACTCGGGGTGGGATAAACCTGATTTTTCCAATGAGAACTTTCAGGGAGCAGCACCTGGAGCACGGAATGGTGGCTGGGGACATTTCCAGGCTCCAGGGATGCTCCATGATCTTTTCCCTTGCAGCTCCCTGTGGAGGACAGTACACAGGCTCAGATGGAGTGGTCCTGTCCCCAAATTATCCCCAAAACTACACCAGTGGCCAGGTGTGCCTGTACTCCATCGTCGTGCCCAAGGACTATGGTACCACGCTTGGAATTTTTATGGGATTCTCATCTTGCAGCTCTTATTTGCTGGGTTTTTAATGATGAATTTTAATGAGTGCATCCAGAATGGAGATAGGGCAGATGGGAGTGATGCTGTTGGGTGCTCTTTGTGCTGGAATCAGAGAAAATTCTGGATTTGTCCAGGTTTTGTCCAAAGCTCAACCCAATGGGAGCCAATTACACCTAATTAATAATTATTGTTCCTCAGTGGAATTCTGCACCTCGTGTTCCGTAGGCAGGGAAAGGGGATGAATCACAGAAAATTCCCAGTGGGCTGGAAATCAGTGGGAAAATGTCGTGGCAACGAACCCGGGGGAGGCTGGTGCTGCCTCTGGAATTTGGGATAAATAAAGGGCTCCCATTTTTCCAGGCTGTCACTCAGCCCTTGTCCCTGGCTGGAATAAAGGCAGCTGAAACACGGGGCAAAGGTTGTGCTGGGAAAATAGATCCCAGTTTGGAATGCTGGGAATCCTGTGGGGGGGTCCTGGGCAGGGCCAGGGGCTGGACTCGGTGGTTCTTGGGGTCTGTTCCAGCTCAGGGGATTCTGTGATTCCATGGAAATGCTTTGGCTCTGTGGGCTGGCAGTGTGGGGACAGCAGTGGGGTCATCAGTGGGGACAGAATGGGCAGCAGTGGGATGGCAGTGGGGACAGAATGGAGCAGCAGTGGGATGGCAGTGGGGACAGAATGGGACAGCAGTGGGATGGCAGTACGGTGGCAGGGGGATGGCAGTGGGGGCAGCTCTGGGATTGAGTGGGGACAGCAGTGGGGATGATGGTGTGGTGACCATGAGGACAGCAGTGGGGGGACAGTGTGGTGACAATGGGGACAGCAATGTGGGGACAGCAGTGTGGGGACAATGGGGACAGCAGTGTGATGACAATGGGGACAGCAGTGTGGTGACACTGGGGACAGCAGTGGGACAGCAATGTGGTGACCCTGGGGACAGCAGTGTAGTGACACTGGGGACAGCAGCATGGTGACTCTGGGGACAGCAGTTGGACAGCAATGTGGTGACAATGGGGACAGCAGTGTGATGACACTGGGGACAGCAGCGGGACAGCAATGTGGTGACACTGGGGACAGAAGTGTCATGACTCTGGGGACATCAGCATGGTGACTCTGGGGACAGCAGTGTGATGACTCTGGGGACAGCAGCGTGGTGACTCTGGGGACAGCAGTGGCCGGTGCCAGCCCTGTCCCTGTCCCTGTCCCCGCAGTGCTCTTCGGGCAGTTTGCCTTTTTCCAGACGGCGCTCAATGACGTGGTGGAGGTGCACGATGGCCCCACGCAGCACTCACGGCTGCTCAGCTCCCTCTCAGGCTCTCACTCAGGTAGGGAGCTGCTCCCTGTCCCTGTCCCTGTCCCTGTCCCTGCTGGGAAACGCAGCTTTGTCACAGCTGACACCCAGCCCCTGCTCCCTGTGGCTCGTTCCTTCACCTCTGTCTCTCCCGTTTTCCCTCCTCCCCATCCAGGGGAATCTCTGCCATTGGCCACCACCAACCAGATCCTCATCAAATTCAGCTCCAAGGGTCAATCCACAGCCAAAGGTTTTCATTTTGTCTACCAAGGTGAGTTCAGGTGTGTTCTGGAAGTGTCCTCAGGTCGCTCTCGGGGTGTCCTGAGTGTCCTGAGCTGCTTTTGGTTTCTGGGGATTCTGAGCAGGGAATATCACAGGAAATGAGGATTCCTCTGGGAGCAGAGCTCTGGCAGGGCTGTCTGGCTGCTGTGGGTACTTTGTATTCTGTCCTTTCATTCCCACTCAGCCTGAACCCTGCACATCCCAGGATTACCATCAGCCCCATCCCGGCATCATGCCCGGAGTCACGCAGGGAATTTGGAGATTTATCCCACAGCAATTCTTCCCAGTGGCATTTTTAGCACTCTGCTGGGTGTAAGCAGCTGAAATCCCGTCTGGCAGCTCGGAAATCCTCCCTCTGTGCGTGTCACAGGCTCGGGGCTGTCACACTCCTGCCCCTTGATCCTTTCAGGAACAGCTTTGTGCTGCACTGGGCGAGAACAACTCAGGGATTTTATGGGAGTAAATAACAAATGAAGCATGGAACAGTGGGAAAGCAGAAGGGATTTCTCACCCACCTGCTCCCTGGAGTTATCTGTGGGAACATCCAGGCTCTAGCTGCAAAGAGGGGACAGACACTGGCACGACCTGAGCCTTCTCCAGGGGTGAAGCAAAGCATGGTTTGGATTTTGGAGTAGTCAGAGATCTGTTCTCTTGAATTCCTGCCTAATGAGTGTGAAACAGCCGTGGTTGTGACTGTAATCTTCAAAGAGCTCAGCAGAGCAAAGGTTTTCATGAAACCAGGGAAATTTTCCTCCTCCCTTCTGCAGGAGCTGCACGGGAAGCAAGGGGAAAAGGGCGATCCTGATTTGGATCTGCCTGGCCAGACTCTAATTAGCTAAACACTCATAAATTTAAAGAAACTCAGAGGAAAATATTAATTGAATTCTTCCTTGGAAATATTCCTGGTTTTTTGATGAGTTTTTCTCCTCACTTATCTGCCAGACTCATTCCTGTCTTTGGCTGTAATTCCCAGTACTCAACAGGAATACCAACAATTTCAGCACCATCACAGCCTAAATCCCCCTTTTCTCTCTTGTCCAAAGAAGAATTTTTCCCAATTTCTGTTCCTTCGTGGCCATGAGGCCCAGGGAGCTGAGGAACCCAAAGGGTTCTCCACGGAGGCTCCTGCATTGGGTGACAAAACAACTTTTTGGGAAGCCACTGCCAAATCCTTTGGTTCCCCTGGGTAAAAACAACCTTTAGATGTGGGGAAAGTTCTCTGGAGGAAGGCAGTGGGAGGGTTCTGGATGTCCCAGATGTTTTTATTTCAGGTATAAAATCATTAAATCATTAAAGTTGGGAAAAAAACTCAAAGATATTAAAGTGCAATGCTTGGATTTAGCCAGTCTTTGGGATTTAGATAAAATCAGGCCATGGTTATGCTTGGATTCATCCTTTCGTCATGATTTAGATACTTTGAGGTTTAGGTACAAACAGTCAGTGATTGCATTTGGATCCAGACCCAATACTTGAAGATTTTAGGTACAATTGACAATGGCCAAGTTTGAATTCAGCCCCTCTTTGGGGTTTAAACACTTTGGGATTTAGGTACAATCAATCAATGGCTAAGTTTGGATTCAGCCCCAATACTTCAGGTTTTTAGGTACAATCAATCAACAGTAAAGTTTGCATCCAACACCTCCTTGGGGTTTAGATACTTTGGGATTTAGGTACAGTTGAACAATGGTCATGTTTGGATTCAGCCCCTCTTTGGGGTTTAAACACTTTGGGGTTTAGGTACAATCAGTCAATGGCCAAGTTTGGATTCAGCCCCAGTACTTCAGGTTTTTAGGTACAATCAGTCAATTTGGGGAGAAAGGGAGAGGGTTCACACATGAGTAGTCAAAGTTTGAGGGCAGTGAAGTCTCCTCACTGCTCATTTTTCCCAATTTTCCAGCACTCTCCTTGTGTGGAGTCTGCATCCAACACCTCCTTGGGGTTTCGGTGTAAACTCAGGGATAACGAATTCCCGGGGATAATACAAAATAACTCCGGGATGATAATTTTCAGTGTGAACTCGGTGTAACTGGGGGATTTTGGTGCAAAAATGATGAATCTTGACTCCCAGCACTAACTGTTGTGTCTGCCTTCCCCCGCTGCCGGCAGCCGTGCCCCGCACCAGCGCCACGCAGTGCAGCTCGGTGCCGGAGCCGAGGCACGGCCGGCGCCTGGGCAGCGACTTCGCCGTGGGCGCCGTGGTGCGCTTCGAGTGCAGCCCCGGCTACGGCCTGCGAGGCTCCCCGGCCATCCAGTGCCTGGCCATGCCCGGGGCCCTGGCACAGTGGAACTCCTCCGTCCCCACCTGCGTGGGTAGGTGGCACCGGGGCAGGGAGGTGGGAACGGGGTGTTGTGTCCTTGGGAGCGGTGTTGTGTC